TGAGTGAAAGTGAGTGAAAGTGAGTGAAAGTGAGTGAAAGTGAGTGAGAGTGAGAGTGAGAGTGAGAGTGAGAGTGAGTGAGTGAGTGAGTGAGTGTGAGTTGGTGTGAGATGAGTTGTTTGAGTTGGTGGTAGCCGGGTGATATGCAATGAAAAAGTAAGAACCCCACATAAAGTTGTGGGGAGTGAGAAACTTCTCCTGCCTGAATTTTCCTGCAGGCACCACCTGACTTCCAACAATGACCATGACTCAAACATCTTTCAAGAACGAGAAATCCCATTCTGCCCAGAAAAATGGTTTGCAACGAGTGGCAACCAAATGCGATCATCCTCAAAAGCGGCTCCAACCAGTCATGGTTCGGAACATAGACCAGTCATGACCAGTTGGGCCAGGGGATCTCCCCCCCCCACATCTGTTGTGCTCTTCCACACCTTCCGCACCACCTCGGTGCCTCTTCCGTTCCCAGTCCGCGGGGCTCACGTGGAGCTTCGCCAGGAAGGCGCTGCGGAAGCTGAACCTCGCTTCGCCCAGTCCATTCTCTCGTACGACACGTCTTCGGACACTAGGCTTGGTTGGAGGCGCTACGAACGTGGCAAGAAGCTACGTTTTTCTACTGCAGCATGGGCTGTGTGGATGCTGTGGGGATGGCAAAAGAGGTCGATTTAGGTCACGCAGGTTGTGAACATACGTCCAACTCAGGGGCCACGACAGGCCATGCTGTTTGCCATGCGGGAAAAAACACGGTGGAATGGTCGGTGGTCTGGATCAACATTCTCAGGCTCTCAGACATGTTCGCAGGCCCTCCTTGAGAGGGAGGTGTTGCTCGCAGGCCCTCCCCCAACATCGTCAATGTTGGAAGGTCAAACGCCTTATTCTGCACGCCATATTCTGTATTTTGCAGGCCGGAGGATCGAATACATATCCTATTCAACAGGTTGCCTAGGCCCCTAGCTCCTGAATTCTATTAGACCGGTAGCTAAGGGCTATACAAGGGCCATCTATACATAGCGTGCATCACTTTACATAAAATTATGTACAGTAAATCTAGCTGCTGACTGATATCTCACATCTTGGACCCTTTCGAAACTTCGCCGACATGGCTTCATCCGGACCGCCGTGAAGACTCGTTCCACATCTTCCAGACATCACATCGTCTCATGGGGCATCTTTCAGACATGTTCTGGATTGGTTATGACTAGAGGAAGACGAGAACCCCTTGCATACAAATATACTCGGAATAGTTCCTTGGCCTTCCATCATCCTTGGAGGATGTGCCTAATTGAAGCCCTCAAGCTCAAGGATGTTCCTCAAATCTCAGCCTTGTCAATAATTTCCTGAAAAGTAAAAAACAACAACCCTTCTTCGACATGGTGTTTTGCATTAAAGAAGGGACACCGGAAGACGTGACCGCTCAGTTCGACCCCTCCCAAACCCATTGGGCCGGTCACCCAAAATACCCACCCACATGGATGAACTGCAAGCAACATTACTAGTAGCGTCCGATCGCTCCGTTCGGTTCGCGATGCCCTTTGTAGCTCCGGAACTCGTCGCGAACCTGGTGGATGGTCCCATGATGTCTCCCTTGGTCGTTCCGGTTCGCCCAGGCACGAGACCCAATATGTTCCCTCGCTCGAGCGATGGAGTCGCAAGTCCTGCGGGTCGAAGCAGCGGTGCGACAGTTGCCCGGACGAGCCCGTCCTAAGGTGAGCGAAATGGAATGCTGCAAGCAATAGGAATCAAATTGGAAGGAATTGACCCCCCCCCTTCCCAGAACGGTGTGGCTTCAAGGCGTCCGAACAAAGTGACTTCTAGCAGCGTTTCACTGGTTTTGCGAAGTCCATTTCCGGGCCGCCCTGACCTCAGGGCCTTCGATCGAGCGCTCAGCGAGGACTTCTCCGGCTTGAACCTGTCGAAGGCCATCGGCCGAAGCGGGACCCATGCATCGAAACGGGCTACGCACGGTGGCCATCGCTATGCTCGGTTGGGGGCCATCGCTACGAACGGAACAAGCTAAGAAGCAACTAGTAACTATAGTAACAAAGGGTGTAACAAAAAGTGATAACAACTCCCATAGGTCTTGATGGTGTTTGCTGACCGTGAGGACCATAGGGGCCCGGCAGGTCTACCTGAAACGGACTCCAAAGAGATAGAAATGGTGAATAACCATTTGAAGATTTGTATTGGAATTCAAAATACCATGTGAGGATCCCTCTGCAAAAATGACTATGATCCAAAGTCAAGTCCATCACCCTCATTGAACACTTGTTCGCCGCTGGATGGGGTCTTCCTAGCGTTCCACGAAGATCCCCTTTGGACTATTGGACAATTACTTATCTAGATGGTTTTGCATGTGGCAACAAATCTGCAGCTGAGCAAAACAACGAAAACGCAACCTCAGAACTGGTGCTGTTTTGGAAGAATGGACGAAGATCTCCGACGTATGCTACTCCGAAAACGTGGCTTTCGAACAGTCGTGCATGAAGCGATCTATAGCGATCTCCATCACTTCCTACACCGGAACTTGGGCCTCTTGGAAGCGCGCTGTGAAGCGATCCTTGGGGAACTCCAGGGCGGCTGCCTGCGCAACGTGTCTGCCTGACCTTCGGAAGGTCCCACACACCACCTGTGCTGCCTGAAAGCAGCATGGACTGGGAGACCTACAACTGCAACTACAACTCAGAAAAAAGGCAGGAATCCACACCGACAAGGGCAAGAGGACAGTAATTACTGCCTTCAAAAGTCATCTTTGAATAAATCAACACGAGGCTTGGCGGCTTGGCATGCTCTCACCATACCTCCACCTGCTCTACCTGAATCACGTCCAATGAAGTCCTCCAGTCTCGCCTCCAGCAACGTCCAATTCCGCAGCAGCGCCACGATCGGCCGATTGTACTGCTGCCCCTGCGCGGAGGCTGTCGGCAGCACCATGTGGTGGATGCACTCAGCAGCTGCTGCGGATGGACCGATGCTGAACCGAAGCAATATGGATTATACAAATGTTCCAGTGGCTGGAGCCACTGGCTGTTCGATGGAAACGGGATGAAACAGGCATTCGTCGCCCACCAGGGCTTTAGAGGGCCACATTTTGAGACGGCGAAGCAGTCCGACCCTGCTCCCATCGGCCAAGATTGGCCAGTCGTGGCTGGCGTCCAGATCTTTTATTTAGTGCATTTTAGTGCTACCTTCGCCAAACCCTGTGAATGCAAACTGGGTCAACTGGATTGAAGTGGCTTGACTAAGCGTCGAAATGATTGCGGAGCACCACATAAGCCGGGGGGGCCGGACACCTGCGGGGTTTGGTGCATGATGCTTCCTGCTCAAGACTGGTCTGGATCACAGAGAGAAAGAGGACTGTTTTCCCACTGAATGGTGATTGGTATGTTCCGCACATTTCGTGCGGTTATGACTCATAGCGGATTCTTGTGTGTCGATGAATGACTTTAAAACAAGAGTGGGACACTCCCTGTTTTCACTGACAATGTCCATGTTGATATAGTGGGACAAAATAGCTGATAGCTTTGCTCAAACTGTCTACAAACATCATCTCAATTCATACCAGTATGATCTGTATGGCCCAACCACCGCAAAACCCCGACTACTTTCGCGTCTCCAATCCCGTAGTGTCAATACCCGCCTGTGCCTTGTGGTGAGGAACCTCATTCGATGCATCCCAAAGCTTTGTTCAAAGCTCCCGCGGTTCAAAGCTAATCGGTGAAATTGCCAGAAACCAACGCATGACGCATGTGTTCATTGCTTGGAATGCAGGCTTCACATGACATGTTTCGCAAGTTCCGTTTCGGGAACAAGCCGATATCCTTCAATGAAGAAGGGGGCCAAGAGCTGGAATCTTCCAGGTTGATACAGAGGATGGGCCAAACAAAACTATAGTGATGTTCAGTTGACTGTTCACATCTGATACAGTAGGTGGGTGTGCTTTTGTGATCTTGTGTGCACCGTCTTTGCCAAACCGAAGACGGCTTGAGGCCACTTGGCTCACCCCATGGGTCACCGAAAGCAAGTGATCAACTCTCCGAAGAGCTAGTCAGACCAACTAAAGAGTTCTTCTCCCAGCACGAATTCTTTCAGAACTCTTCTAGTTGAATGACCAAGATCTGGTTAAATGACCAAGCACTCTTGGCAGAAGATGCCTTAAACACTTGGCCAGCCAGACCCAGTCAGACCCGGGCCACTGGGTCACTCCCTCAAAACGGTGCTCAGAGCCGGACGTGCGACCAATTCCCATCCCAGCCAGACTCCGGGCAGTAGTGCCTCGGGCCATCGGACGGGTAGTGTTCAACCTGTTTATCATGATACAGCTGACTAAGCTGACTGAACAATTGAAAGCTGTGGCCACAACTCGATGCTAAAAATGTGACACCAACAGCGACTTTGTCAACAATCAGCATCAACAGCTATAAAATGGATGCATCATGATGCATCTAGCCGTATGGGCAATCTTGTTTCCAGGGGGGCTTTGATCTACTAGCCCCATCTAGTCCCGACCTGTGCATTTGTTAACAAAAGATCTATCATTCAGCGAATAAACATGGAAGTGGAAGAGACCTGCTACTTCCAGCAGTGTACCCACCGGCGACCTACTTCCAGCATCATTGCCAGCATCGTCTGTAGGACATGTCGTCGCCAAAGGTCGCACGAGGTCTGTGGAAAGTTATTGTTGCGTGTCTCTCTCCATACTCGCTCACCGCGCACCGGGTGCCCACCAGGGTTGGTCCACCCTCCCATCTGCGCCCTCCGGCCAGTTGGAGGCACGGAAGACTGCGAGCCAAGTGCCTTCGGTGGGTCCCTCAGGCCTTAGTCGCTCGATGGAAGGGACATTTGATCCATCCTTATCCATCCTTCACCTTTCTTATCCTTTTTTAGCATTGCTCCACCAACTCTGTGATCGACAGCAATAACTCCATCTCGTCGCTTCTTTCCGAGCGTGTTGACGCGAATCCAGATCCAGACCCGGGTGCATCTTCGCTGAGTCACCCAGACCCCGGCGCCACTGAAGGGTTGTAAAGGCCTGCGCCGAAGCGGCGCGCCTCCTGAGTGAGTCGCAGCGGGGTGCCAAGACCCCCAGAAGCTTGGGAGCTGGCATAGGACTGCCAATCAGGCCAGGGGTGGTGCCAGGGGGGTCAATGTAGGCACATATTATCATATATGGCAGTCCCATGGAGTGTATGGGATATGATAAACATTGTCAAACTGCTGCGGTATCTCTGGAGGAACACCCAGTAATGCAAGAACGCCCGATGGAAACAGTCGACGACCTGATGGGAACATTTGACCCACGCGTTGGCAGGATTGGAGAATCGATGAGAATTGATTGGTTTTTACATGTTTTTACGCTGCCATTGGGGCTTGATGCAGTGGGGCTGAGGACAAAAATACCATCCGTCCCTTCTCAAGCAATCCACACCTTGGGGAAGAGGCCCTGGATGCATCCGCTGCACCAGGCGTCCTGGAACTGGACCCACAGGGGAAACATCTCTGGCAAAACAAGGCATAGACTCAATCCCCCGCTGCTGAGTTGTCTCCCCCTCAATATGTTTGGTGAACACTCACCGTATACCAGTACCCAAAGCCTCAGTCGGAGGCGCGTCATTTGCTGCTTGAGTCTCTTCACAAGCGAGTGGCTAGCCGCTTGGCCTTTTCCCCAACTCATTCCTGGCATGCCCATGTTTCACCCATGCATGGCCAAAAAGGATGACTCCACCTTCACATCATGCCCATCAGGGTGAAACTCAATGGTTGCATTGGTCTGGGGCCCTTGTGTAGGTTCGTTCCTCTTGTCATTGGCTCGGGCAAAGAAAATCTGTATATAAGTCTTCAAACAAAGCTGCAGCGAATCAAGGCGGAGTCGTTGGCCGAGTGCGGGACTCCGCTACAGCGTTTGCAACTGTTCCACCACTCTGGAAGGGAATGGCACCAGTATGCACCATCAACAAGACTGGATGAGTCAATGACACCAACCCACTTGAGTCAACCCCTTCAGGACCGTTACACCAAGCAGCACGCGTCGTCAGCGCGCCACCGGCGCGGTCTGCGCACGTCTGCGCCTCAAGACGCTTGAGTGGAAACCTTGGCTTCGATGGCTCTGATGAAACTGTCAAGACGGCTGAATGAATGACTGTAGCTGACCAACATATACCAACATCGATCGCCTCAGACACCTCCTCAAGAAGGATTCAGACTTTGGTTTGTAAAAAGTGCTTCAAAAGAGTACTTTTGATCCAAGATTTTGTTCTGCCTATCTGGGTCAAAGGCGATGCAGTGCGGGACATGAGCACTAACTCACGAGCTTTATCGCCGAACCCTTGGAGCTATTCTTGTAGTTGGAGAAGTGACAGTCTGTGCACCTACTGCTGCAATCCCAAAAACACTTCTCAATAAAGACCTTGATCTCCGGCTGAAAAATCGCTTTGCTTCACCCAACTTCACCCCATTGATCTATGATCCGTGAAAACCCGATCCTTTTTGGCAGATCCCTCAAGCCCCTGCTGTTGGGGTCGGGTGCCCAAAGTGTGATGAAGAATGCCACGCTGGTCCACTCCGTTCTTTTTCATTCATCACAAATGAATCGTGCGAGAGCTATCCTGCGTCCATTCGCTAGTAGCAGCTTACCTAGTAGTCGGTTTAAACCCTTACTTTAGCCCTTACTTAATTATGTGCCTCGTTAGATGAAGTAAGGGTAACAACGTTGCAACTTGTTTGGTTGCAGTTCTGCTTCGACCCTCGTCGGTGTGCCGCTTGATGCCAAAAACACAAGACCTCATTACAATGATTTCTGTCTGAACCCTTTCCAGCTCCTTCTGGAGCTGAGGAACTTGAAAAGTCCCATAGATGTGAAAGGTTGAAACATGTTGAGAACCCATGGGACGTTTTGCAACGGTTCCCTTCTGCTCATCCATGAATTCTCAACCTCTGCAAAACATCGGAATGAAGTCCCTTTTTCAACATCTGGACTCTGGTCTTTGCCACGTGCTTGCAGTGCTCAGTCGGCAAGTCAAGGCCAGGGTTGAAGAGACTTGCTGACTCTTGGCAATTGCCCATACCATTGCATGGGGATACTATGGGGATGTGGTTGTTGTTGGTGGTGGCGGTGTTACTGTTGTTTGGCTGTTGGGAGGTGTTGCGATCTCTCTCACGCTGAACTGGTCTGCGGTGGGACAAGGAGCTGTTGCACGTCGCCCTCCAAAATGATCATCTTTGTCTGAGGAAGCCTGGGCTAAGCAAGGGAGATTATTCATCAACCGCATTTAACAATCATATATAGTCAGCATGTTGAATGTGCGTTTGCTAAAGCTACAATACCGAAGGAATCAACGTTTCTATGCACCAATTGGACTGGCAAGAATGCCAGGTGCTTCCCGCGCTTAGAATGACGACGCACACAGGTGGCAGCTCTTGGACCTTCTTGCCATTGTTGTTGGTCGGGCAAGCCAAAAAAAGGTTGTTGTTGGTCTAGTTTGCACATGCCACACCGTGCAGCAAGTGAGCAAAAAAAACAAGATGAACAAAAGGCTCAGTTCCCGCAATGAGCAAGTTGTGTTTTGGTCTCTTCTTAGTTTCTTCTCTTGTGCCAATAAACGGCAACAACCCATCAAGTCAATGCATATATTTGCTCGAAGCAAAATTGGACAGGAAAGGAACGATGCAAACTGATGAATAACAGCGACATCGGAATGTGTGTGATGAAATTCCAACTTTGGGGGTGACGGATGGTGACTGGAAACAGTTCTATAGAATCAAACATAATTTTGAAAACTACTAATTCTATAAGGAAGTTTATAGTTTATATTAAAGCCGTTTCATCAGTTGGAAGCCACACACCCTCAGCAGGAGAAGAAAGATCACTCCGCCCAGCCGCCAGCGGAGCCAATCGCTGGCGTTGGCGATGAGGCTTCGCGCCTTGGACGGAGTTTCCACGGACGGCTCGAGTTTCAGCAGTTCTCCTTCGTCGGGAGAGCCAGATGGGCCACCCTTCCCCGTCCGGTTGCAGTTCCTTGAAGGTGAAGACGGCACGTTCCTCAGGAATCCCTTCCCAGGTGCTTCAGGGCTTGTACCGAATAGCCTTTTCCCACTCACCAGCTCTTCGGATCATGAGCCACCAACCCTAGGAGTCCGGACGCTTTTTGACTCCGAGGGCCAAACTGCGACTCGAAAGACACTGCGTGGACTGGACGACAAGAACGGCCTCCGCCATCATCCAGTGGCTCTAAGAGGTGGTTGGCCTCCACAACAAACATACTTAAAAGCAACCTCTTCTAACGACGTGGTTGGTTGACATACGCAAAAACTAGATCCTAGGTTCACGCGGGGCGCTTGAAAACTCATTGCAAATTCTCTTTGATCTACGTCCTTCGGACGATTTCGTGCTGCTCTTCACAGGGTTCAGAGAATAGCAAAGGCCCTCAGCCCCACCGTACAGCTCTCACCACTTCTTGTGGAGCTGTCCGGCACCCCGCATCATCACCCCGCAGTGCTCGAAAAGGCCTCGAATCTTCGGTTCCATGCCATCAGACTGTCAAAAAAAGCACTGGCCTCCGCTGCATTTGCCTTGGAACAATCGCTGAAGTTGGGCTCCATGACTGCAATTCAGGAAAGTGCAGCGGCGTTGAAACATATCACATTCTCTTGCAGGTGTCAACCTGCTTACGGACCGGACAGGCTTCCAAAGTGCCAACCCCTTCTGGGGTCATTCTTTGATAACCTATTAACTCTTGATAAAAATGGTCTTCGGGCGTTTGGCAGTTCCTCCTCGCAGCTCCAGACTACTTGGCCCAGAGTGTCGAGGGTGTACTTGGCTCAGACGATCTCCAGAGCCATCTTCTAAGACAGCTCTCTACGCGGGATCAACGAGCGAAGCAGAAATGGTCTGGGCCGTTTCCTCGGAAGCCAAATGAACGTAAGGTCTAATGTAGATTGCTATTGAGTTGGAGGTCATCGCAAAAGGGAGTTGGAGGCCATTGCTTGTAGGTTGGAGGCCATGGCTTCTAGGTTGCAAGCCATTGCTTGTAGGTTGGAGGTTGGAGGCCATCGCTTCTAGATTGGAGGCCTTTGCTTGTAGGTTGGAGGCCATCGCTTCTAGGTTGGAGGCCATCGCTTCTAGATTGGAGGCCTTTGCTTGTAGGTTGGAGGCCATCGCTTCTAGGTTGGAGGCCATTGCTTCTAGGTTCTTCTTTATTGAGCACCCAGTGGCCCAACTGTGGAAAACGGCCGAGACCTCTGGAAAGGGACCCCCAAAGGACCATTAGCAGTGAAATGGTCTCCAGGGGTGTTTCCGGGATTCGGTTCTTAAAATCTTGGTGCGGCAAATGGGATTAGCAATTCTCACTCTTATGTCTTCTATTGCAGTCGTCCACTCTCAGTGGGCAAAACCGCTGATATACCCCGCAACCGATTCGATCTCATCCCATCCCTCTCAAACCGACACAGAGCTCCTCTGCTCAGCTGAGCTCCTCTGGGCGAACACGCCCGGCACCCGGCAACCTCGCAGCAATCCGGCCGTACCAATCCATACGGTATGAACACCAAACACGAGGAGAACGTCGCGGCCAAAAGTGGCTCAAAACTGCCAAAAGCAGGCAGGATCGTTAGATGGTTGGGTGATGTTTCTGGCTGAACCTCTCGTGCCAAGATGTTTCGAAGTTAGGAGTGGGATGAAGATTGCGCTGGTCTATTTGATGATGTGTTGTTAGCGTTTCTGTATCTTTCTGTCCTCTATCGCCGCCCAGCTGGCAACCGCGAGAATTAACCCGTGTGAGGCGACTAGTTGAAGAAATCACAAAAAAGTGTGTAATAGATCTCCCATTGGATCCCTCTACAGAACAAACCCATGGTGGAACCAATCGGATCTACAAACTCAAGCAAAAATCAATCCCCGATTGGGACCGATCAGACTCGGCTGTGTGATCACTCGGCCTGTCAAAGAAGCGGAGAGGGTTTCCAAAGGCGCCGATGTTGCCAAGGGAGGCCAAACTGGAACGCTTTCCTCCAGCTTCCATCCTCAGGTGCTGTCGATCACGGATTGAAGGGCCAGCGCTGAGGTGGGGTGAGGGGTGATCGCACGAAGTGCAAACATCCCAAGTGCCTTTCCTTGACTTGGCCTTCCTTTCCTTGGTGATGTACAAAAGCGGGGCAACGATCCAAGAAAAGCGCTTCAGTTTCTATCTGGACATGTAAGCAATTTCAACCTTAGACACACATCAAACAAGTAGGGCCGGATTCGAGTTTCGCCAGCTGATCTCCCACTGGACACAGTTGCACATATTCGGAGTCTTCTCGCTTTTTGAAATCGACTCAAACAGAATATGATATATTATATATTACCTATTTTAATTTAATTACCTATATTTTGTTTTCAAAAATTCAAAATGATTACCTATATATTAATTATATATCGTACGTATATAATTCATGAAAATTTCATGACCTATTTTGTTTTCAACGATCTACTGATGAAGTTGCCATTGCGTAGAAGTTTGGTATGGTCAGCTGATTGTTGCCGTGTGTCCGTTTGTGGAGGACAAGCCCCATAAATACTAGAATTTACTAGAGGTGTGCCCAAACTAGTAACCAACCGTTAGAAACGGATGGCCTTGTCTCCGGCTAGTTCATTCAACTTCTACAACAACCCCAAAACCCCAATCATCCACCACCCCCAAGCAAGGTAAGCTATCTATAGCTTACTTGGCTTAAGCCTGAGCTTCTCGGTGATCCCCAAGTCGTTCACATTCTGCGCCACGTTCCTCACTGCGTCTGGGTGCCACGGGTCCCGGAACACGTCGAACCGCGAACGGTGGGCTCTCCACCACGGGGACCACTCTGGCGAGAATCAGAGCGCCAGCGTACTGAGCAGCCGCCCCCCGTGCACTCTTGCACTTCAACCCCGGTGAACGAACTGCTGTATGATGAAGCATCGAAGAATCATGTCAAAAGGGGGTACGAGTCACATCCAATGCCAACATGCTTCTTGGACGCGAATGTTCGGAGGGAATGGCAGCACAGCTGCGACAGTTCTTGGCGCACTTGATACACTTCCATTTAGTTCAAAACGCACATTGTTCTTCTACTGAGCAGTGCAGAGATGTTTCCTTTTTTCAAACTGATTTTTAAAATGCCTATGCAAAGGCCACGTCGCCTCGCTAAAGGGTCGCTGCGAAGCGGAGCAAGCCGTGAAACATCCCACGAGGTCAGACATGTCGCCTACTCGAGCCCATGAAGCGGATATAGAGCTTGCTCGAAAAGAAGCACATATATCTGGTAAATTCTGGGAATTCTCAAAAAATGTTTGAGTCGTACCTGTACTTCACCCCGTTGACATCCACAGTAGATACATTTTGGCTCAACAAAAAAAAAGGGGCCAAAGAGCTTTACGCGAGTTCAAACAGTGTTAAAATGATCTATTGCCGTAAATCAAAAAAGGCAGTGATCTGACAAAATCAACAAAATGTCGCAGGCATCCCTCCAAGTGTCAGCTTCTCCACATAAGCGGTGGCATAGTGATGGGCACGAACTTGCATGCTTGTTTCACCCGAGATGATGTTGCAGAACTCCTCTGCCGCATTGCACAAGTATTTCTGATGGCACAAACGAGAACGCGTGCCTTTAGATGTGGCCAACACAAATAAATGGTTCTTAATATGTACGTAATATGTGTGCTGTGTATATATATATATATATACTATATTATACATATTACATGATATTACATATTACGTATAATATCATGACACCAGCTAACTAGGCACCAGTACACTGGCCCCTTATCACCCTTTTTCTTGAGTGCCTTTCTGCATGTTCTCCTTGGGAGAACTTCAGCTCACTCGCTGATTCCAGAGGATCGGAGCATGCGCCCATGTAGGTGGGCTACCTTTGGGGGAGATCGTTCGGAGTACCTACTCAACACCTGAACACATGGGGTGCTAACGGTGCTAACCATCATCTGACTGACTCGTGACCTCAGCTAAAAAACTGTGGCATCTCTAACCATCATCTCAAAAAACTGTGTGTTTCTGCCCATCACCACCCCCATCTCCGTCACGTGGATGGCCAAAACCTTGCAGAAACTGTGGCACATCAAATCGCCTCGGACGGTAGCAAGCCAAAGCAAACAACAAACAACATGTGGAATTCGTATTGTCTGCTTGTAAGGCAAAGTCATGCAAGAGACGTCCCAACCACGTGCGTTTGAGGAACTAGTACCTAGGGGCGCTGTTCGCGACCCGATGGCCAAATTGCATGTGTGTGTGTGTGTGTTCTCCATAGGACCTTATTAAATTGCCTTGCACTTCGTTCACGGACATCGTTGGGAGGGATAATAAACTCTCCTTGCGCAGAACGGCATCTTAGTTGCTCACAGCAGTCACATGTTTCGGGAGCGAGACCTCGATCGGTTTCAGCATTTCGCTGATGTGCAATTTGAATCAATTTGATGTTTCGCTGATGCTTCAAGTGATTCTGATCGCGGATCTGTCTTAATGAATGGCTTTACGTGTGGCTTGATTTAACGTGTGTTGATTCAACGTTTGTCGGAACCCCTGTGGTGTCCGAAGAGCCCCGCTCGGTCCCTTAGCTCGGACGGACGCTTGCCATGGGGACGACGTTGCCTCATTAGAACGAGGCTCTTCCAATTACTTCATATACATGTCGTGTCGCGCAAATACCTCGCCCGCAAAGACATTGGGAGCCAAAGGTGTTTTGAAACTAGATATCAATCTATATCATGTTGCACAAGGCACGCCTCCCCGTTTTTTGGTCCCGACCACATGCAACCACCTTGTTTGAGTGTTCTGCAAAAAAAATGGCCCCCCCAAAAAACAAGGAGGCCAATGCAACCAAGGCACCAACGTGAGTCCAGGTGCTCCACAAGCACATCTCCGCAATCCAGGAATCGTCTCGCAACGATGGAAAGCTCGACGCCCGCGGTGTAAAAAGGGCCGACATTTCCGTGGACACCGAAAGAACAACACTCACGTGCCCGCAACAAGGCACACGACGGGGTGGGCTGACCGCCGCGCTCCGGTGGGTCGCTGGTGGTGGGTCGGGGCACGGGTGGTAAGGAGGCGAACGAGGCGGTCGCAGCGTCCATGTTCGTCCATTTGCGTCCCATTACCTCACTATATTGTAAGATATTGTAAGATGGTAATCATGAAGGGTAATACCCATAAGGTAATCCCATACCCATGACCTTCCCATATGGTAATGATTACCTCACCTTTGTGGGCAACGCATGCTTACTTTGACATGGGTTCTCGTCCATTCTGTCCGACAATGGACGAGCACCAATGGGTGAGACACCCTGTACATCCCTGTACTTACTCTGTGCAGCCATGTGCAGCCTTTGCAAGCAAAATGGACTTTGAACTATGAACCCTGATTTCTGTCCGACACATGGGTGAGACATGGTGAGACAGGATGCCGATGATGCCGCGGCCAATCAGCGGGGAACCCATGACGAAGTGGCTGCCCCGCCCAAAACTAGAGCCTATCACCCCCCACCTGACCAGAAAAATTATCTTCCATCATTCTCCATCGAAAGCCGCGAAGGTTTGGATGGGCAGGTTCCTTGGGAGTGTGTGTTCACCATCAACAAGGCAGGGTGTGCGATTCTGCAACATGCTCATGTTGGATCCCCTTGACTAGTTTCACCAATCCTAGTGGCGGAGAGGTGTACGAGTTGCAGACCAATCCTCGCTGCCCAAAACTCATTTGTTCTGAACCTCCCAGAGCCAAGAAATGTTGGATCTTCATCTTCCGAAACATATGGGGTGCTGCCGCATCCAGATCCGAATCCTCCAAAGACACGGTCGTCTGGTCACTCTGCCAACCAACTATACCCACCAGTCAGGTACAACTGTGGATGTTACCAGTACTGTGACACTGCATTACGTTGAGGTGCTTGGTGCTTGTCTCTCTGGGCTGTTATTCTGCAAGTACAACATAGATCCATGTGCCACAAAGTATGAGTAGCTCGCAGCGTGCCCACTGCAGAAGATCACCTGACGCAAGGTCGGGAGCAATCTATATACTGCTGGATGCAGTTTTCACAAGCCCTTGAGGAACACAACCTTGCTGTGATGTGCCATCTGCGAAGCCACAGGAAGGCAGGTGTTGTATGATTGTCTACGATGTTCAATAGGTGGTGGGGCCACTACTGTTCAGGCAAGAAACAATGAGTTGGACTGGTGGAGAGCGAAACTTGCATCTCCTGTTTGACTGGTACACCTCCAAATAATCTGAAAACTGTGGCCACTTGGTGGGGCAACTCACTCTTGAATGAGAATCAAGTGCTAACCGGCAGCAGACAAAACGGTGCCAAACAAACAAACTGTGCAAGGCCTTCACTTCTCTGTGTGGAAGTGCTGAAAATACCCATGGATACGTCAAGCCAAGCCACATCATCTTCTGCTACGTCATGCATTGATACGGCTTGACTGGCCAGCGTCTGCAAGGTCTTACCTTGGTTTGCGCAACTGGTCTTGATTTTGTTCATGAGGCCACTGGAGTCTGAGCGAAACAGAAACATCTGCGGAAACAATATGCCAAAAAGGGATGGAATAGAGAACCCTGTGGCGGACATGATATAGCCTCGGAGTACCCTAGCGCTGAATGTGGCACAATGAGTTCTGCTAAGATGTCAAGGTACTCTCTTGCAGGCTCAAGAAACCATTTCGCAGCAAAGGTCTTAAGTATGCCATCTTGGAAAGCTGCTGACGGTATCGCGCCAAAAGCAGCTCAGCCTCAGTGACAAGAGGGCCCCTGTGCTTATATACTCCATGTTTGCATTAGAATCTTCTCGTATAGGTCGGGGGGTTGGGAAGTTGCTGCACTGAGATGAAGACCTGGTCCCCTGGCCCTTGCCCCTCAAAGCTCCTTTGTTCCAAAGAAAAGACTAAGTCCAGGGCCTGAAGGGACTTGGAGAGGTAGTCCAGTATGTACGGATCACCTGAATTCAATGCTCTTTCCTGAGAGTGTCTCGAGGATCTGGGAAAATCAGGTGTTCCTTGATTTTACAACAAAGAAGCATGACAAAAAGACCAAAAATTAAAAGCATTGCCAAACAGGGTGGCCCTGAACGGAGGGCAGTAAAACGAAGGAGTGCCTACTCGATTGGTCAGGGGCCACCCTGCTTTTTGTGGATCCAAATCGCTTGGTAGGTGTAGTGCAGGAAGCGAGTGACACGGCTGCCCAGGCCTTCTGGGATCTTGTTCAGTCTCAAGAATCGTCGGAGCAAGCCGAACTGCTGCGTCTGTTCCATCCGTTTGCTTTGCAAAGTGCTGACCAAAGAGGTCATTGAACTGATGATGGTTGAGAAGGTAATCAAGGACACCAGGGCAACAACGACACCTGGGTCGGTCATGTCACCTTGCGACCTGCAATCCATCCTCACCCGCTGTTTCTCCCATGTATTTAGGGGGTCCGATGAAGCGTCGATCCATGCTCGTCTCCGTGTTGCAGGTTAGTGAGTGACAGCAAATCCAATTGAGATGGGTGTTCTTGAAAGTTTTTCATCCTTCCGTGCTAAGGGTGAGATTTGAATATACATATCATATATTCGTGTTTGAAGGGAAAAACTAATTGACTTGAAAGATCCTCTACCTTTTGGGCAATTTGCCTATACTATAAAGTGTACGGAAGGGAATGGTGACTCTTGGCTGACATCATGGCATCACAGTGGCACGTGTCGCCGCGAACGGTACGTCCATGGCGCTGTAGAGCCCTTCCGGTTCGTTCACCGCTTCGATGTTCGTCCCTCCAATGCCCAACTGGGAGAAGGCCCACCGCAGGCTGTGTGTATACTTCACCTGAGACATACATATCATCCAGCACTCCGATGGCCAGTTTGGGACTGGGTTACCCTGTGAATCCCTGTGACGTTTTTTGTACAGTGTCGAAAACACACATGCGCAGGATGTTGTGTTCAGCCAGCACTACGTCACTGTTGTCATCTTGACATATGATCTTAACCAGAACTTCCACTTCTGTTTCAGTTCAAGGATCTACAACCAAATGATGACTCGATTCTTTAACGCAACATTGAAACGGTGGCCGGCAGATTCATGGACATCAGGCAAACTGTTGTTCAATGGTTCGATTCGAAGGGGGCAAAGCCAGTGTTCTGCGCGTGTTCTGCGCACTGCACTTGGAGGTCGTGTGTGTTGGGGGTATCAAGTGCAGGTCGGCATACGTATACGAATTGCAATCAAAGAACTTACCATACCTTGATCGTGCACAAGTCTTCGTTGTGGCTGGCTAAACGTGGCGGACGTCTCACGTGGGCTTGCGGCGTTCAGGTGCCTTCAGCTGAACTTGGCTGGTGGGCTTCGCATTTCGGGCCAGCTTCGGCCTCAGTTTCTGTCTGCCTGTCCTATTCCGACGGTTTTCATGGGGTCTGGATCCATTTGCCTTGTAGCACAAGCTTCCCAAGCGTGGCTTCAGTTTGCCTATTGTGCTGAAATTGCACCTGCGTGGCTGCTGAGGTGGCTTGGCCTGGTTCGGGTTGCTCGATTGGCTTCCGTCCTTTCTGGTGTTCGTCCAAGCTTGCTTTTCATTTATTCCTATGTATTTCTATCCTTGCTCCTTCCTTCCTTACCATTACACATTGGGAGAAAAATGAAAAGAAACAGCGCCCACAAACATCAAGGCTACGAGCACCCCCCTACTTTTTGGTGTACGTATTTCGTTGATATTTACGGTCTTGTCGTTGGTGCATGTTTGTTTTTTGCGGTCACAATTTGCAGGAACTTTTTTTGAACATCGGGTACCATGCGTATACATGATAACTATAATAACTACTGTATATAGGGAAAAGATGGGAAAAGACATATTTAATTCAAGAGATAACCTAAGAAAGAAAGTGGATCAGGAGGGGAGCATGTCAATTCAGTGTGTTGTGAAATGCTGGCGCAAGAATTCCCAGGAAGCATCTCTCCCAAAATAGTCAAAACAAAAAGGTCCAACACAAAATACTCCGCCTATGAATCCAAGGTGTACACACACAAACAAACACACCCACACGTTCTGAACATGGTCCAATGGTTGCAACGTGCCCATGGTCCAATGACCCTGGTCAAAGGCGCTGTGAAGGCCTCGCCCTCTGCGCCAGATTTGGTCAGCCATGTGTCTGATTCGGATGTCAAAGAGCCAATACCAAACCAGCCACAAGCCACCACGTGCTCCAGCAGCATCATCCCCACAATCAAAAGCATCAAACCTGAAAACGCTCTCGGACCAGCATGGTCGCACACCGCTCTCGGCTGACTAGAAAACACGACCGACCTTGGAAAGCACGACCGTGTCCGTCGCTTCAAACCAAGCCCTACCACCATGATTTGCTGCAACTAGAGGTTCCCTCAATCCAAACAAGTTAAAATAACCGATCCTCAAGTGGTCAAAGGAGGCACACGATGGCCAAGCCCAGATGAGGCATTAAGCTCACCGGCCAAAACTCATCTCCTTCAAAAGAACCCAGTGAAGTTCGCCTCCAAGACAACATCAAATCCCCCCAAGTCCCAAATGCTGCGGAATTCATATCCACACCCAAGGCAAGTTGATGTTTCGAGAATGGATGCTGAAAGGTTTTCTGAACAACCAAAAGAGATTGGACATCGGCAAGGTGGAGCATTGTTCTTCCTGCTAACCCATAATCAGAATCCAGTCAAACCCTTGGCTCAGTGCAGAGTGCAGAGTGTGCTGGTCATGTAATTATTATTGCAGATTGCGCCCCTCGCAGCGTGTGGGTTTGGCAGGAAGTATACATCGACCAAAGTCCAGGGCACTGAATTGCGTGTAGGCCGTCTCCGACTCAAACTTGTCGCGCAGGAAGGACACGAAACGCGTCAACTTCCCGAGACGCACGACCCGGAAGAGCCGCAGGAGTCGCAAAACCCGCGTCGATGCACGATCAGTCTCAGCACCAGAGAAGGTCAGGACGATGTCAATCGTCGTGACCACGAAATCCGGCAGGAACCAAGACTTCCTCGGTCGGATGATGTAAAACCTATCCCAAGATGAAGAGACTGAAAATCGTCGGCCGAAAGAGTTTCTGACATACAAGCCACTGCTTCTATACCTTCAACTCGTTTTTGGGCCAAGCGTCAAGTAGTGTCGCGCAATGTCTTTATGGTTCAGGATCAAATTGCCCTTGTGCAGGTATCCAGTGAAGAAGGACAGGACAACATCCATCGTCCAGAAACCCACCTATCGCCATGACACGAGGTAACATGTCCCACTCAGAAGAGCAGGTACTGTAACATGAAGACATCTGCGATCTGGAAAGCTTCCCTTTCCATGAGCAATGTGAGCCTAACCTCAATCGATTCTTCACATTGGGAGTGTCTCCTCCAGTCCGCACCGACCCGAGACAACGCCTCCACTTCCGAGACAACGGTCAATGCAGGGAAATCCTCGAAGAAGCTGGCCTTCAGCTGTTGCTTTCCCCTGTCCCAAGTGAACCACGAGGACGAGACTGAGGCGTGCATTGCAGGGTCGTGTTCATGCTGGGTGCTCGCTTTCTTGGGGAAGTGTCAACTCCAGGTTCCCATTGATTTCATGGAAGGTAGAGGAACTCCTCTTCTCATACCGATACCGCACCTCATTCTAGCGATTTCACACGACTGAATCCCCTAAAATTCTTTTGTACCGAAAAGAATGATATGTACGTACGTTGTCAAGCTGGGATGAGGATGAGGAGGAGGACGTTGACGATGACGACGGCGGCTACCGCGGGGTGGTATATGCAGGCACGGCCCGCTCATGAGAAAGACATTGTACCCCCATACAACCAGACACCTCATTGAAAGGAAGGATTGGATGTTCTCCCATCCAGCACATCCAATGCCTTTGTATATATATATACTGTAACATACACTTCGGGACACCCAAGCCAGCATTATGGATAGTCCAAAGTTCGTGACTCTCAAAGGGAAAGTCCATGCTGCTGATGTGGCGCGGCGATTGCCGAACAGCCAAAAGTATCACAGCGGCCCCGAAACAGGAACCGTCGGGTGGCATTGACAAACAGCAAGGGCAATGCGATGGCGTCTGCCACGAGCAGAATAATGCCCAGGAAGTCCCAAAAGTTCCTCCGTGAAAAGAAGCAGAGGCTTCTTCAGAAACAGCTGACAGGTTATCTTCTTCGACTGTTTCATCAGGTTTCAAAACGTCAAATGGAGGTGGGATTATATTATGAAGGTTGCTCTTTGCGCTTTTGGATCAGGTCGGAGATGACGGGAGAAGTTGGTTGGTCATGGCAAGTGTCACCAGCTGTTTTTAGTGCCTAGAAACTTTGCTTTACCGTGGTTGGGCGTGTTTACATGTGTTTACCACCGACCTCAAAACCTTAGAGCTTGGTGAAACCATATTACTTGTGCCTGTCAAACCTAGGTCCTCACAGCTTACAGTTGCCATAGGTTGGGGTGCGTACACCCTGGTTCAGGCCTTGTTGTATCATTGTGATATTACGGCAGCAACAAGTATCTGATCTACGTCAGCCGGGCCCGTGTCTAGTCGGTGTTCATTTCTTCACAGCATGGTTGTTCCTCACTTGGACACAAACATCATGTGTTTTTTGTTCTTTTAAGGGCAGGGATCATCATATTGTTGACCAGAAGTCCATGTCTGGAAGAAGAGATGACTAACAACATCTTTCGTAAGTGTATCAGTATAAGTCATAAGTCACAATTAGGTTGGTGAGATTCCCCATTTGCATGCACCGAACCCAACCATCAGAAGATCGTTC